TCACTTGTGGGGGTGGGCTTTGAGGTCTCATATGTGCCCAAGCCATGTCCAGCAGTTCAGTTCACCTCTTGTTGCATTCTGATCATGATGTAGCCAGCATTATGTTGGCCTGCATGACGCCACGTTCCCTGACATGATAATAATGGACTGAACCTCTGAAACTGTAAGTGACTCACTTCAATTAAACGTTTTCCTTTGTAAGAGTTGCTGTGGTCATGGAGTCTCTTTATAGCAATAGAAAACCTAACTAAGACAGAACCTCTTAATACCAAAACCTCATTTCATTCAATTCTGTATCTCTAGAACTTAACACAATGTTTGACACTTAGTAAGGATACAATAAATGTACTTAGATAATAAAATTGCCTCAAAATATTAATTTTTGTCAAACAGTTTCATAATTTGAAGCTCAATTAGTGATTTTTAGAGCTTTTGCCATGTACTCCTGTATTGTGTTAAGTTTTAAGTTCTCCTCTCTGCTTTTGTAGAATCTTTTCCAATGGTCTCTTAGGAGATCTAATAAAATTTTCAGTAGAAACTGATATGATGGGGAAATTGATTTATTTTTTTTTTGTTTTTGTTTCATGTTATTTTTGAGACAGAGTTTCTCCTGGAACTTGGTCTGTAGACCAGGCTGGCCTTGAACTCAAAGAAATCCACCTGTTTCTGCCTCACAAGTGCTGGGTTTAAAGGCATGTGCCACCATGCCTGGGTAGGGTAATTAATTTCTGATGAAGATTAACACTCATTATATACACAGAGACAGTTTGATCCAGTAGTACATAACATGGTCATAAAATACAAATTGAAACAGACTGTAAAAACCAAATAAATTTAGATGAGACTAGAAAACACAGAAAAATAATCTTTCATCCCAGATCAGATTCATATAAAGAATTATTAGGTGTTTGATTGAAACATCTGTAATTTAATTTGCTTTTACTTTTCTGATCCAAAGTTTTCACGTATGTCTTAGGCCCTCAGTTCTTTTTTTTTTTTAATCTTTAACATATAAACACAAAGAAAACTTGTCTTTGTCTACTTTCTACATAATTCTCTATGGATAGCATTTGGTGTTAGAAAGCTTCCAAGAAAAAATATCCCCATCCATGAGGGTGCATTTTCAAATTCACCTTTAACCAAAATTAGGTAGGTGATTGCAACCTTTTGAGTTACATTTGTTTATATCCTTTCAAATTTTTTACAGCATATAAAGTATGCATTTGTGTTCTATAATAAAAATAGCATGTAAGGAAGTCTTTATCTACCATCCATACATTTCAAGTAGTGTATACACCCCTATGATATTTTAATATTTTGTTATTAAAAACAGCAATATAAATTGTAATGCAATGTTAATAGTTCTTGAGAAAATATTAAATGCTTTCCTTTTAATCTGTTGAAAAAAATCATTAACATTGGTATAATAAAGGATTATTTCTTAAATATAAACCTGAATTTACGTTCAGAGAAAGAAAATAAACAGAAAAGAGTATTGGATTTAAACATCCTTGGTGTACATTCTTTTTTTTTTTTTTTTATATATTTTGTGCATTACCCTGGGCAGCTTCAGCTGCATAAGCTTGTTATGCAGGAGCAGTAGTTTTCTGACTACTTTGTTAAGAATGTGTTTATCATCTCACAGTGGATGGTTATTCAGTTAAGATTAATCTTCTCTCAGCATTATAATGTGAACACAATTTAGCAACAACCGAACTGTCATCGCTATGTCAGCAAAAATGTATGTAAATTTCTAGAACCTCATGGATGACTAATGGATTACACTATAACAGAAAGGAAGTTGGGATTTTTATTTTCCTCTAGAGACACAACAAAATATCTGTACTGATGCCAAATCTATATACTGAAAGTATTTATTTTTACTGAAAAAAAATGTTGCTTATTGGACTACCTTTAGGAACCGTCAAAACTAAAAACAGACTGTAACCCTCAAACTCCTTATAATTATTCTAGGACACATGTTTTAAAGCTACCTGGAAATTCATGCTCAATATTTTCCATAAAATTTCCTTTTCACATAATGAGAATGTGAGTGTTTTTCCAGGGGGATGAAATGGATTGAAAATGCTCTAGACAACCTAATTTTTGTTTTTTAATAATAGTGTAACATTGTCTAACAAAGTATCATGATTTTAGTGGCCACTGTCAATGATTTGAGTTTCTTGATGAGTTTTGTGTCAGATGTCAATGTGTAGTTAGTCTCTGTCAACAAAGCATATGCTAGAACAGCTGAGCTGGATGATTCATTTCCAAGATGGTTTCTTCATTTACACATCTGATACCTTGGTACTCAATGGGCTTTTTCTCCCCACATGATTAATGTTGTACCCATGTGATTTGAGTGAATTTCATGTAGTATAGTGGTTTTATAGCTGATCAAAAACTGGGAGAAAAGTTGTAAGTTTTTCCCAAGCTAGCCTCTAGAATCTCAAAACACTGTTTATGTCATATGCTATTAGTTCAGCTTATCCCTGAGATCAACCAAGACTTGGGGGAGTAACAAAAGCCACAATCATATGGTAGAGTAGTAGAAACACATATGTTTATCTTTATTACAGCATGCATTGCCTTGAATTTTAAGAGAGTGCATGTATCAGACCCACCTTTAATAAGATACTTGGTTATTTGGATTGGGTTATTGTATTCTTTGGAAACTTATAAAATTTTTGTTCTAGTTTGAGGTTGTCTGAAGCTCAGTAAATACACTTGATCAATTTTAGAATCTGGTGGAAAATAATCCTCTAGAGATTTTTATTATTACTGAATTATTGATCTTTGACACTGAATTTTGAAATTCAACATGCTTTGTAAGAACTAGTATTCCAACATATACCAAAGTATCCCACCAATACTATCACACTATATTAAATTTTTAAATTTCCTCGACATAAACTGAGACATCCAATAAACCATAATCTTTCTCTATTTCTTTTTTTCCTATAATGAGATTGTTTTCAAGTGTTTATCATGACTGCATATATCCCACTAAGACACAGGAGCTGATATTTATAGTACTTGTAATAATGTCTTTACTACTGAGGAATATGAGCAACTTACAAAATGATTTCTCATTTGGAGAAATGGTGCTAGATAAATAAAACCACTTCAAATTATCTAACACTGTACTTGTTTAGATGAAGAAGATCTAGTGACTGATTTTGTTTTACTTTCACTAAATGATATAGTTACTTCAACATCTTGTAGAAATAGCCTTTTTGAGATGAAAATGGGTAGTTATCCATCTTTCTGTCAAAAAAAGTTATTTTCAGAATAAAAAGTTTGGCTTGATATCTAAGGGAAATCAGTTTAGTGTAATAATTTTATAGGGTGGTAGTATTCGTGGCATGTGCTGTATATGTTGCAATACTTGTTCATGCAAAGCAAATATATTGCAGATGTTAAAAACAACCCAAATGATGCTATACTTCATAAAATTGAGTAGGATATATCCCTTAAAAGAACCCATTTCCTTGTTCTGAACAGTAATCCTTAAACTTTTCTATTGAGTGTACATAATAGCAGAAGAGAACGAAAGCTCTGCCCACAAAATTTACTCCAGTTCTATTTGGAATAGTTCTGCAAATTTTGTTTTCTCTGTTTAGTACATAAGTTTTCTTATAAAAATAATCTCTCCACTAGAAGCCCCAATGTAAACTAATAATAAAAGATAATGAATGTCTTTATACAACCCCTGGGAAACCACAGAACACCGCTGGCATATTTGTATCTTAGTAGTGTAAGTGAAACTAATTGGGTAGAAGGATATCAACAAATCTATATTTTTTCACTTCCTTTAACAAAATGTAATGATTTCAAAAATAATATGGGAAAGTTGGAAGAACCATAGTCAGATATATCAACATTTACAAAATCAGCTCCCACTTCCATAGTCCAACATGTTTATTATAACTTATCGTTTGGTTTAAACAGACTTAACTTGGGTACTCATGTTTTTAGGCAGCATTTAAAAGCTACAGTTTAGAATAGTGAACAAGATATTAGGGACATAATTTTCTTTCTTGTCTTTTCAAACTAGAATAAAATTCTACCAATCCAAGTTTGGTTGGAAAAGTCAAAATGAGAGTCAACAATTTCCCAAGCAAGTGAAATATTGGCTGTATAATTGTTAGGTACCACCATGGTCACACATTGCAAACGATTATATATTTTCTAAAGTTATTCAGATATTTCACGTTTTTGTTTTTAATTGAAAAACTTCAGAACGCTAAGATCAATCTGAAGATAGACAAAATCTCACAAATATTAAGTAACATAGTATAGATTAAAGGCCACACATTGGGAGCAAACCAAAGTAGGCTTGCCTCTGGGTTTTATTCTTACAGTTCTTGAAATCATGTGGATTGGAGGAAGAGTATACATGCACACACACACAAACATACACACAAGCTCAACATTTTATGTTCTTGTTTGATACTGAGAAAAGATAATAGTACTCACAATCCAACATGTTACTTTTCCTGACATCATGTGATTCATAAATATTCAGGATCCTGTCCTTAAAATGGATTTTAAATAACACTGGGTTGTATTGTTGGAAATAATTATATCAAATCATTTTAAGGACTCCACTGAGCACTCCCTTTTATGAAGTGCTTAGTCTTCAGAAGATAATGGTCTCCAAATAAAAAATTTTGGCTGGCAGATGTATGAAAAGTTTTCTGTACCAGTCACCAATGCAAGTCAACCATGAGTCTATCAATCACAGAGTTAAAAAGCTTTGTTGTATAGCACCCTTAATACCCAGTGTAACAAATTAGTATTACCATTCCTTGATGCAATACAAACTCATTTTCTTAAACTGCTATTGTACTGAACGCCAGGGTTATAAATGAGCAGAACACAAATTGATTTGCATGTAATAACAGTGGCAATAAACCTTTCCTGGTTCATGCAATTTTCCCCATCTGTTAACAGAGAACAAGTTTAGGATCTATTATTATTCCCAGAAGTAGACTTACCCAGCTGGACATCTATAACACTTGGCTGATTTTCCATGGGGAACAATGGCTTGGGAGGCTTGTCTGTGAGCAAAGCTAGAAGAGAAAATGAAAGAAAGTAATGGAAAAATTGAGATAAATTATAGGGTAAAGATGATTCTATCATGTATGATATTTAATGTTTGTAGACTTGATGGTGTGTAAACATTTATTAGACAGTATTCGTACTTGGGTTGTTACTCTAGCCATACAATATTCATTTTCCAGCAAATAAAAAGCATCATTGATTTACTTAAAATAAGATAACCCCACAGCTATGTTTTCCAATGCATTCAAACAAATGGGGTATTTATTTTGGATGTATTTTCATAACTTTATATGTGTCAAGAAATATAGATTGAAAAAATAAAATCAGAGAAACATTAAAATTCACATATTTGTTTTGTGGCACTAAATAGTCTCAATGAATTGCAGCAGAGATTCCCTGTAGCATAATCCTTGTAAGAGTCTAAGTCATCCCAATGTTTTGCCCTAATCTTCAGTAATGCAAGATTGAACTGATAGCTTCTTTAGAGACTGATTTTAAAAAGTCAGCCCTTTTTGTTTACCAAGCCAGGTGTTTTGTGTTAACAGACATGTAAGTAAAATATTTGTCTTTGCTCTCAATTTATAATCTAGGGCTATGAACACTAGACTAGCACAACAAAGTAAAAAGAGAAAAAAATATAATATAATAATATAATATAATATGATATGATATAATATATAATATAATATAATATAATATAATATAATATAATATAATATAATATAATATAATATAATGAGAGGTTGTAGTTGTAGTACTTAAGCAATATATATATATATATATATATATATATATATGATGTGGAGAAAAGAGATCAATGCTGGCTGAAAGGGTTGGGAGAATTTTTAAGAAGGGACATGATGGCCATACGAAACTTAAAAGATGAAATAAAGGAACCTTAAAAACACAAATCATGGCATAGTAATGAAAGTTATCAAGAATAATGTATGTACAAAAGAACGATCTGATGAGAAGAAATTGGATGGGTGATGTGAAAAACCAATTGCTCATTGAAGGGACAATATGAATTGGAAATGACAGTACATAGATAGGGAAGGATTCAATTCTGAAGGATTTTTAAAAATATACTGACAGATTTGGGACATGACATTGTAGGCTAGAGTGCCATTGGTGATTCTTGGAGGAAAACAATTACTCAAAGGTAAATGAATCTAATGGTAGTTAAACTGGCATGTGGCATGTGCTGAGGTAGAAGAAAGGTATGTAAGAAAACACAGTACTAGAGGTGAGACAGGGCAAAGCAATGAGTAAGACGAGGAGTCCAGGAAAATGAAAAAAGATAGAAGAAACAAATCTAGAGATAATCAGAAGAAAGGAACAGAGGATTTGGCAAACATAAAAAAATGTCCTATGCACTGGTGTCATACAGACAGCCTTATTTCACCCCATTGTTCATATCCTGAATTCATTTAAATTATTACTGGATTAATGTCTTGCTTAAAATATATAATTATATCTTGTGGTGGTATTGTGTTCCCCAAAATATTGTGTACTCTAATAAATTTATCTGGGGTCAGAGAACAGACAGCCACTAGATACAAAGGCTAGAAAATGATGGCACTCACACCTTTAATCCTAGCATTCCAGAGATAGAAATCCCTCTGGATCTCTGTGAGTTCAAGGCCACATTGGAAATAGCCAAGCATGGTGACACACGCCTTTAATCCCAGAAAGCCAGCCTTTAATCCCAGGGAGTGGTGGTAGAAAGCAGAAAGATATATAAGGCGTGAGGACCAGAAACTAGAAGCATTTGACTGGTTCAGCTTTTGGCTGGTTAAGCATTCAGGCTTTTGAGCAGTAATTCAGCTGAGACCCATTCCGGATGAGGACTCAGAGGCATCCAGTCTGAGGAGACAAGACCAGCTGAGGAACTGGTGAGGTGAGATAGCTGTGGCTTGTTCTGTCTCTCTGATCTACCAGCATTGACCCCAATTACTGGCCTCGGGTTTGATTTTATTATTAAGAACTTTTAAGAATTCCTGCTACAATATCTTCCCTCTTTAAAATGTTTTATAGATCTAGTTAATACACAGGAGGCTTAGCACCTGGCTAGGTTACAAAAGATAACCATTAAACCCATCATTAATTGACTTTTCAGGAAATCCTTTCTGATATTAAAAACGGCTATCTCATATTTCCAAGTATATTTAGAAGAAAAAGTGACAAGTGTTGATTATAGGATATGTACAGTTATAGAAATACATAATCTTGGTAAGATTCTTAAAATAATTCTTTTTTCAATGTATACAATATAAAACACTTTATATATTTATTATTTTATAATTTAATTTAATTTTACATATCAGCCATGGATTCCCGTCTTCACCCCTCCCACCTCCCACCCACCCCCACACCCCGCCTTCCCCCCAACCCACCCCATATTCCTATCTCCTCCAGGGCAAAGACTCCCCTGGGGATTCAGTTCAACCTGTCAGATTCAGTCCAGGCATGTCCAGTCCCCTCCTCCCAGGCTGAGCCAAGTGTCCCTGTATAAGCCCCAGGTTTCAAACAGCCAGTTCATGCACTGAGGACAGGTCCTGGTCCCACTGCCTGGGGGCCTCCCAAACAGTTCAAGCTAATCAACTGTCTCACTTATCCAGAGGGCCTGATCCAGTTGGGGGCTCCTCAGCTATTGGTTCAGAGTTCATGTGTTCCCCCTAGTTTGGCTATTTGTCCCTGTGCTTTTTGCAATATTGGTCTCAACAATTCTCACTCAGACAATCCCTCCTCTTTCTCGCCAATTGGACTACTGGCAAAGTTTGAGGGAAAGAGAGCTTAAGGGAGCAGGAGATCCCAGCTGATCAAGAACAGAGAGTGAGAACAAGGAATAGGAGACCATGATAAATGAAGACTACGTGGGAATAGGAAGAAGCAAAGTGCTAGACAGGTCCCCAGAAATCCACAAAGATATCTCCACCATAGACTACTGGCAATGGTTGAGAGAGTGCCTGAACTGACCTACTCTGGTGATAGGATGGCCAAACACCCTAAATGTTGTGCTAGAAATCTTATCCAATGACTGAGGGAAGCAGATGCAAAAATAATTCTTGATAACCAAAAATATACCAGAAATATATATAGAGAAGATATTTGTATAACATAGTCTCCATCTTCCTAAATTGCCTGAGACAGAAAAATTTCAGTGAATGAATTGTTTGCATTTTTCAATAAATCCTCATTGGTAGCCCACAAAATATATATTGTTCTTAGAGAATTTAACAATACTTTTAAACCAAGCAGATTTGTAGCTAATTTACGCAGACCTAAAAGTCTAATACATAATTTTTATAATGTATTAATTCCAGTTGATATTAATAATATGACCTTTAATTGTTATTTAAAATTTAAGTAATAAGAGTTTAAATATCTGAATTCAAAACCAAATATCTGAAGCTCAGTTTAGCTGCCATAGTTGAGCACTGTCCACAACAACAAAATATTTGAAACAACAATTGAAACAATTTGAAAATTTCCATTGACAAAAATCTGGTTAAGTAAAACTGTGATAATTGTATATAACTATAATATATATTATGATACAGTAGATTGAAAGAATGAGATACATTTGTAAATCTGATATAAACTTATCTCTAATATTGCCAAGAAGCAAGATTATGAATACTGTAAATAGCATGGTACTACTGAATAAATAACTGTAAAATTTCAAAATGTCTAAAATTAGATAAATATGGGCTATTCTGGCATAGATATATGTACAATGTGTAACAGTGGTTTCCACTAAGTGGAGTTTATCTTCTTCTTGGCAAAAATAGCCATTTGGGCAAGAAACTGTTCTTGCTTGGACTGCTTGATCAACTGGACATGCAGAACCCATAGGAAGGTGACCACTGAACTTTGCTTGGCAAAATGGTCCTTCAGGTTCCTGCTTTGCAGAGGAAACTGCCAGACATCCTACAGGACACTGAGAAAAGCGACTGAGAGACTCTAGGCCTGTGGGTTGAAGACAGATGCCCCAACTTTACAAAGTAACTTTGGATGACTATCCAGGCTACCAGCTGTCTCTGTCTACTCTTGTAAAACTCCCAAAAGTTGCTTGCATCCTTTTCCTGTTTCTCAGGTAATAGTATATCCTTCTGAGTTCTTTGGTGTAGTTGAAGACTACATAGCTATAATTTTCCTTAGTTATGATAAAAGATAAGTTAGATATGAAACCTGCCACGGCCATACAGTTTGAAGGAATATAAGTCTCCATGTTTACTTGGTTGGGTCTGAGCGGCTGTGGGACTGGCGGTGAGAGTGATTTGTCCTGACTGTGGGCAAGGCAGGAAAACTCTAGCTACACTTAAGCCACAGTCTATGTGGCTCCTCAACAAAAACTCATGTGTTCTAGCTGTGTGACACTTTCTTGTTTTCTTTCTAATCATCAAAACTCTATTTAAAATAACATTATTATTATGAATTAGAGAGTACTGCTTAGGAAGAAATCATCTTCATAATAATCCACAGGTAAAAATTCCAGTAGGGTGGGATATTTCTATGAGATAAACACGCTACATTACAGGCAGTGGGGAGCTCCCCATGCCCATTCATACCAGATTCCAGAGAAAGATGGCAGTGGCAAACATGTGAAGGCACAGCAGAAGCAAAGGACATTCTGGAGTCTGGAGTCTCAGGGCCTTGACTATAGGAGATTCATCCATCAGGGATTCACCTCCTGTTGGGCTGATACTTTGAAATTCAATTGCCACCTGCTGCTCCTCTAAAGTGGCCAAACTGGCAATGAATTCTAAAGAGAGCAATGAGAGTCTATAGGGCAGTTTGGAAGGAGAAAAGGGAAAGGGGATCATATAATTATAGTATAACCTCAAAAAATAAAAGATATAGTATACTTGGAATAGTATATAACAAATTATGGTTGAAATGAAGAAAAACCTAGTCAAACTACATCTTCTTTATATAAAACATATTTTTATTTCCTTGTATTATTATTTCTATTTTTACTTGTGTATCCAAATCATAGACAATG